TAGGAAGGGTTAAAATAGAGTGGTAGGGAGGGTTAAAAGTAAAAGTGGTAGGGGAAGAGGTTAAGAAGTAAGTGGTAAGGGAAGGAGTTAAAATGATGGTAAAGGGAAGAAAGGGTTAAGTAGAGTGGTAGGGAAGGGTTAATAAGTGGTAGGAAGGTTAAGAAGAAGTAAGTGGTAGGGAAGGGGTTAAAGTAGAGTGGTAGAAGGGAAGGGTTAAAAGTAAAGTGGTAGGGAAGGGTTAAAAAATGAAAGTGGTAAGGAAGGGTTAAAGAAGTAATGTGGTAGGGAAGGGGTTAAAGTAGAGTGGTAGGGAAGAGGTTAAGTAAGTGGTAGAGGAAAGGTTAAAATGGAGATGGAAGGATTAAAATAAAGAAGTGGTAGGGAAGGGTTAAGAAAGAGAGTGGTAGGGAAGGGTTAAAAATTAGAGTGGTAGGGAAGGGTTAAATAAAGTGGTAGGGAAGGGTTAAGTAGAGTGGTAGGAAGGGTTAAAGAGTAAGTGGTAAGGAAGGGTTAAAGTAGGATGTTAGGAAGAAAGGGTTAAAAGTAGAGTGGTAGGAAGAGGTTAAAAGTAGAGTGGTAGGGAAGGGTTAAAAAGTAAAGTGGTAGGGAAGGTTAAAGAATATGGGGAAGGGTTAAAGTAGAGTGTGGTAGGGAAGAAGGGTTAAAAGTAGTAGCAGGAAGGGTTAAAAGTAGAGTAGAGGAAGAGGGTTAAGTAGGTGGTAGGATTAAAAATAAAGTGAAAGTTAAGTAAGAAATTAATAATGGTGAGAGGGTTAAAGTAAAGTAGTAGGGAAGGGTTAAAGAGTAAGAGTGGTAGGGAAGAAGGGTTAAAAGTAAAGTGGTAGGGAAGGGTTAAAGAAATAAAGAGGTGGTAGGGAAGGGTTAAAGTAAGAGTGGTAGGGAAGGGTTAAAGTAAAGTGGTAGGGAAGGGTTAAAGAAAAGTAAAGTGGTAGGGAAGGGTTAAAAGTAAAGTGGTATGGAAGGGTTAAAGTAAAGTGGTAGGGAAGGTTAAAGCAGGAAGTGGTAGGGAAGGGTTAAAGAAGAAGTAAGAAGTGGTAGGGAAGAGGTTAAAGAGTAAAGTGGTAGGGAAGGGTTAATAAAGGTGGTAGGGAGGAAGGGTTAAAGTAAAAGAGTAGTAGGAAGGGTTAAAAGAGTGGTAGGAAGGTTAAAGTAGTGTGGAAGGGAAGAGGCTAAAATAAAAGTGGTGAGGAAGAGGGTTAAAGTAGTGGTAGGGAAGGGTAAAAGTAAAGTGGTAGGGAAGGGTTAAAGTAGTAGTAGGGGAAGGGTTAAAAGTAGTGGTAGGGAAGGGTTAAAGTAGTTGGAAGGAAGAAGGAGCTAAAAATAAAAGTGGTAGAGGAAGGGTTAAAAAGTGGTAGGGAAGGGTTAAAGTAGTGGTAGGGAAGGGTTAAAGTAGTGGAAGGGAAGGGCTAAAGTAAGAGTGGTAGGGAAGGGTTAAAAGTAATTGGAAGGAGTTAAAAGTAGTGGTAGGGAAGGGTTAAGAGAAGTAAAGTGGTAGGGAAGGGTTAAAAAGAATGGGGGAAGGGCTAAAGTAGTGGAGGAGGGTTAAAGTAGAGTGGAGGAAGGGCTAGAGAGTGGTAGGGAAGGGTTAAAGTAAAGTGGTAGGGAAGGGTTAAAGTAGTGGTAGGGAAGGGTTAAAGTAAAGTGGCAGGGAAGGGCTAAAGTAGAGTGGTAGGGAAGGGTTAAAGTAGAGTAGTATAAGAAGCAGGACTTTCTGTGACCATCTTTTAACCATTATTCTCGTAAGTTAGTTACATCTTAATTGTCTTACCATGTGTTTGGTTCTTAAGCCAATTAATTTTACTTTATTTTTTATTTTTTATTATTCTAATTCTTATATCTTGCTGCCCTACTCCTTTTCCTCGGTCTTTCTATAAGTCTCTTTTTAATATATACACCTGAATAATGTTCTTCAATTACCCGTTTACATCTTCAAAGTTTTCTGAAATGCTGGTACTGAGTTTCTAAATCTAATACTGTATATGCAAACTGTGGTAAAGGATTAAGTGCTTCGAAGAAATTCTACACGTGCCATCCTACTTGTTGTGGTAAATGTTGAATCTCATCTCAACAAATCAGGAAAAAAACAAAATGGAGGATTATCATAACATTAATATACATTCCCATCTGGTAACCAAAAAAATGGTAATGCACACCCACAAAAACAACCCCTGTCAGTCGTCTTTCCCATCTGTGAAGCCTGAGACTCATGAACCTGTGAATCCCAAACATCACACAGTGTTCCTTCCATAGACCCAACACTGTGTAGTGTCTGGGATTCACAGGTTCATGAGTCTCAGGGTTCACAGATGGGAGAGAAGAGTGACAGGGTATTTTGGTGGGTGTACATGTTGAAAAAATGAACAAAGGTTATCAATATGGGACTAAAGTTCAATAGTAAGAGTAAAAATAATATATTAGATGTTCAGACTATGCAATACAATGTTCGATAATAAGTAAGTGAAGGTAGCATGTAAAGGGTAGTTTACATTGGAATTATGGATCAATCTATTGGTGGAGTACTATACAGTACATGACTATGGCAAACACTGTGGGACCTAAATGATAAATTTGTTTGTAATTTAGGATTAATTAGCAGGACCTAAAATCTGTGACTCCTAATAGTGGGTATCACTAATTCTTATGCACTGTTACAGTTTCTTACTCTCTCGCCCTCCACGAAGACAGACACACTGCAAAAATTCAACATATAAATGAGAGATTTACATCAGGAATTATTAACCCTTTTAACTGATATAAAATATAATTTCAAGCTACTGTTATTAGACATTGTAAAATCTGAAGAGTGGTCATATTTTACTCTACATCATTCCTGAAGCTGGACTCTAAAAACCTACTAATATTTTGATAAATTATAATACTATTAATTTTGTTTTAGAATTCCCACAACATCCATTAACTTTAATAGACTTATAAAATGTTCTAAAAAATAAAATACAGAAACTGTAGTTGTAAGTTACACCATTATGACCGATGTGTTAAACACAAGTTTTATACAGTTTGGGGTGAAGTCTGACACCCAGGATGTTTTCTTTATCATCAAAATGACCAATTTATTCATATTATACAGAGAACTCTGTTATGTACAGTGACAGAAAGTCATCTATTCACCCTAATTAGATTATGTAGTGAAACGTTGACCTTTATCACTATACTATAGTACAGTAAAACCTCGCTAAGGTGGACTAATTGGGAGGAGGGGTGTCTGGGATAAGATGTTGTCTGCCTTAGAGCAAAAAGTAAAAAAAAATAAATAAATAAATAAATAATACTTAAACAAAAATCAAGTACAACACTAATGTATCCAATTTTTATGAATGAAATACGTTTCAATAAATTTTTTAAAAAAGTAATGTACACAAAGAATTGTACACTTACCCCAAAAAATGGAAGGCAGATCCAGCTGGACATACCTCTGACCACAAGAGGCTTGTAGTCACTCTGAGTCTGAGTGCTTTGAAATTCCATATTTAGCGCATATTTATAAGTGACCAGCAGCCTTTTCTAACTTTTCAATCACCTTTAATTTTTCGTTCACTGATAAGGTTTTAGGCTTAACCTTCTCACCACCCTTACAGATGCCAAACACTTTCTTAGGGGCTGTTGTTATTGTCTAATTTTTCAATAATAATGCAAAAATATATATGCTACATCAGCCTGCAGCATAATCACATTGCATGTACTGGCAATGTCAAATAAGTTTCAAAGTAAATTTCAACATGTCTAAATGGCAATAAAAACAATCGATGGAGTGAGAGAGGCAGAAGTGATACTATCACGACAACTCTAATTTATGACTGGCGAGTGTCCCTGTTTATGAGTGTGTGGAGTGGGATCGAGGTCTGTCCACCCTTATATTTTGGCTTATGGTGGACATGTCATCGTACAACAAATTATGTCTTTAACATTTGGGCAAATTTTTGTCTCAAAGCGGGCAGGGTCCTTCTTGAGGTTTTCTGTACTTCCACTTATCCATAATAAATCTACCATAAAATACTGTACATATTTTTTCAAGGTACAAATACCCTGGTACCGTACTGTACTGTAGTTGCTATCAAGAAACTCATTCACAAAACTGCATTGCAATCCTTTTGTTTTATAAAAATATAAATAAAAGAAATAAATAAATAAATAAACACATGATAATACTGTATATTTTCATTAACTCAATCCCTTGAGCAACACAATCAACATATCAAGTAATAGGAACAATATAAATACAGTATATAACAAAAATAAAAGAACAAAATCAGATGAATTAGTGCAATTAAAAGCTGCTGCTGCAAGGGTGCAATAATACTGCAGAGATCTTCAATAAACAATAATACTTTGCCAGCAAATGTCATTACATGAAACAAATTTCAAATATAAGCTTCTCTTATATAAAAATTAACATTAAATAATGCTACTGTACTTACTACTGTACAGTATACAGTAAATGTAGCTAATGTACAGTAAACTTTATAATACATAATCTAAAATAATTTATCTCACAAGCAAAGATAATTAATTAATTTACTTCATAAAATCAAACTACAGTGGCAAATAAACAGTGATAAACATTATCTTCATGTACTGTATAATGGACTGTATAAGACATTTTTAGGTAACTAAAACTGTATTCACAACATCCATAAATATTACAATGTGTGAAGGTATTTCATAGTACTGTAATGTGTTATCAAAACTATTTAATATATACTGTACAGTATTGCTAAATTTTAAGTTGTTATTCTCAATCAAATATCATCAGCATATCAAAATTTGATATTTTCATTAGTTTTCTTAAAATTAATAAATACAGGTTACATATTATGTTACAGTTGTAAAATTATAACAGAAAATTTAAATAGAACTTGTTTTGCCTTCTCACCATTGTACAGTATTTCATCATAAATTTGATTTTCCCATATGGTAGAGATCAATATAGACAGTAAATAGAAATATCAGTAAGTACTCACCGACGTCTCCTTAGTGCATTACTTTGACCTGGGAGCCCAAAGAAGCCACGAGGTATTACCATTTGAGGGCTTCCTCTGGCAGGTCGTGACTTTCCTAGAGCAGAGAGTGAGGAGAGGTGGGCTGCAACCATCAGTCAAAACCTGTAATAACAAAAATATCCACCAAACATCATAAAGTATTGAATGCTGCTCAAAGATTTTACAGAGTGGAGCAAGTGTTAGAGTGTGTTTGGAGGAGGGAAACTAGTTCCCAGTGAAAGTGGGCTCATGCCAATGATGAGTAATGTTGCCATGGTTCTTCATTATCTATATTGATGGACAACTGTGATGGAAAGACATGCAAATTTAATTGATGGGATAAAATTCAGCTGGTCCTTAATAAAACTACCACGGCAAGTGACTCAGAGGAAAGAATACGTTTGGTAGAGTGTGTTGTAAGATAACCTTAATAATATATGTGAAGAAAATTAAAAGTGATGAAAGAAGTTAAAAGGCAGACTTAAGATAATTGAAATCAGTTTGAATGGAGACAGAAGCAAGAAGTTTTGGGTCTCTGGAAGGAAAGAAATGAAAGAGAGAGAGAGAGAGAGAGAGAGAGAGAGAGAGAGAGAGTAATGAATGGACAAGTGTGGACCATAAACCCTGGAAGCAAGAGCAAGAAGCAAGTTGGAAGGAAAAAAGTTATTTACTTGAACAATGTGGAGCAAAGAAGATGCAAAGAACCAGGATATGGATAGAAGTAGATGTGGAAATTATGTGGAGTCAGACAGAGGCAACTTACATGGTGTGGATATATTGAAAGATCTGAAAACAAAAGTTTGGGAAACAGTTTATAGTTCAAAATTGGATGGTATGTGAGAAGGAAAGACCAAGAAGGAGATGGCAGGATAGGATGAGGGAGGCACTAAATGTGAGAAGGATGGGTGGTGGTGTGTGTTAATAATGGGGACATATATGCTGCCTGGAAGTGGTTTGGATAACTGCATATCATAGTACAGGTACACTTCTTGATGATTAATAAGCAGGAAAAAACTTATATGACATAAATTAGCTACTCAGCCTTACTCCTTTAATCAAAACTCAAACTAAACATTACCTGTGCATTTGCTTGTTGTTTTTTACTAGCTTTCCCAACAATGTAGATCTGCTCAGATTTAAGACCAATGCTACTATATACAGTAATGTCTTTTGCACTACCATAAGCTGCCATCAGTACTAAAGCATGATCCTGCAGAGAGAAACAGAATAAAATATTAGTACAGTACAAGTCATAAGAAAAGCTTAACCTTTCTATTGAATAAAAATTTTGATCAATTTTGAAACTAATGTACGTTATGAATTAACGTGAAGTTACTCACTTGGATCAGACCTCGTGAATAATCAGCCTTGGCCTAGGGTCTCTCTTGAGAGCCCATCAGCAAAGGATACAAGCCCATGAGGGAAGTTATGCTGGTAGCGAGCCGCCTTCTGCTGCTGCATGTCTGGCCGACCAGTCACATAAATTATTAAGTATCCCAACTCTTGCCAGTGCCTGAAATATGATAACTGCTGAAAACATCTCCTATAAGTTTAATCATACTTTCTGTCACTTTTAAGTCTTTTTGTTCTATAATGTGGGATGGCAGTCAGCCCCAAATACCAGCTTTCTTTACTCATGTCGTCTCACACAAACAATCATGAAGATATGGAAACCAACCAGTTGGACAACTGCTGCTTCCTGGATGTGCATCCTCCCCATTCTTCCATCCTTTGGTCTTCTCTTTTCCTGCCTGTCATCCATTTCTGATTTTTACAATGCTTTTTTACAAACCAAGATATCTACCACTTAAAGAATAGGTTATGTTCCTAATTTTTAAAGTTAATTTTCACATCTGAAATAACATAACATATGGGAAAAATAGGGTTTGGCTCTCCAATGACAAGAAAACCCCAATGTCATACAAGAGCCTCTCTCTCTCTCTCTCTCTCTGGAGAGAGAGAGAGAGAGAGAGACTGACTTACCTAACAACATCCACAGCTCCAGCTCGTACTTTTGGATCTCGTCCAGTAACAGAAACTGACGCGTAAGATCCATCAACACTAAATACAACACATTCAGTTTTGGGTGGTACAACAGTGAGGTAAAGTGTAGCACTAGTATGGTCACCTGTGCAAGAAAGAGAAATCATCAAGTAAGAAAGGTAAATAATATTGATTCAGTTTTCATTAAAGAATATACAGTACTGTACAGTGGGGTATGCTATAACGAATCTAATTGGTTCTAGAACCTTGTTCGTTGTAGGATTAATCCGTTCCAGGCCCCCAAATACAACCACTTAACACTGAAAAATTTTAATATAAAATTGTAAAAATGGTAAAAAAGTGCATACATATGCATCTAAACCCCTGAAATAAAGAATATCATTAATACTTGTAATAAAAAACAATAAATTAGAAAATTTTTTTTTTAAATGTTCGTTGTAGGAGTTTCGTTTAGTTATAGCATTCTCAATTTTATAGGTAAAACCGTTCGTTATAGGAATATTTGTAGTAGGATCCGTTCGTTATAGCATACCCCACTGTATTCTGTTCAAGAAAAATAATAAAATAATAAAACAAAGACAGAAGAAATGATAATTAGGTCTAGGTACAGTGAGTTCTGCTATAACGCGTGTTTTGATAACGCGAATTTGCTCTAACGTGATTTATGAATAGAGGAACAATATTTGTATAACGCGAAAGCTTGTTTGCTGTAACGATGATTGCTTACTATTTCTCCAATTTTGTGGTATTAACTGTGAATATGGTACAAAGAATATCTCCAAGAAGCGTTCTGGTGGTGGTGATGATGAAAGGATATAACACTTTCGATGTTATCAACCTCAAAATCACCCTTCTCCCCATCAAGTTATATTCATATTTTTTCAAGGTAAAGTGTTACATTTACTGTATGATTTCATTATTAGATATGAATGTAACATTTATTTAGACTGTGCTATCCTTTGTGTTAGGCTAACTACTAATTTTTCGATTTAGTAGTAATCTGCACCTAACCCTATTTTCTCATAAGCCCTGTTATTTCTATTATGATTTTCTATAACACGATATTTTACAAGAACACAACTATCGCGTTATAGCAGAACTGACTGAGATTAGGTTATCACATTGCAGCGGTTAATGTAACCGGAGGGTCCCGAAGA